ACATTTACACGTAATTTTCCATAATCGTGAACAATTTATACGTCATTTTCAAAATTCTCGGGGGGGGGGGGGGGGGGGGCCGAGGCATAGTGTAGCTCCGCCCCTGGACAGAATACATGTATTACCTTTTTCTGGGTCCACCAACAATCACTCAAAATAAGTGATTATCAATCTCTACCAAAAGGTGAGATTGTGACCAAGGGATCGACCCTCTATTTTTTCATTTATAACAAAGCACAATGTAACCCTCCAAACAATGTATTTTTCAAATTCATACATTTCATCAATACATCAAATTACAATATACAAATTGATTAAATACTTCATTTTGGAGAATCCCAACCTCAAACAACCCTTAGTTTATGTTACAAAACTAGATTTGGGACAGGCCATTTCTTTTTTCTTATATTTTTGCAGACTTTATTGCTCAATTTATAAATCATGAATCAAGTGGGGATTATCATGATCATTCTAAACTAATTTTAGAAAGATTGGGAGGTTAGTCAAAGTTCAGTCAACAAGGTAAGACTCACTTTCATGAAGATCTAACATAAAATTGATGTTGGGAATATAATTAGGAATTGCCATAGTTCATGAATGATGTTATAATTAATGCTATAGGATGCTAGACTAACTTTTTTTTATTCAAAAATTTGTAAATGAACATAGTTTTATTTAGTATAATTAAATCTGAATTTTTAGTTAAAAATTTATAATTTGAATGAGAACAAATGAAATATGATTAATTAAAAACTAATAAGGGAGTGGTTACGCACCTTGAATTGGCTTGAGATACGGTCAGTAACCATTGAGCCCAGAAAATTCAGATCTAACGATTGTGAATTAAAATCATTTTATTTTCTCTAGTTTATTAATCAGCTCTTATCTTCTTCGTTCTAACTCGGATTTCAATTTTTTTTTTTACACAGATGGAACGAGTTCGTTGTGCTCTCCAAAATGAGATCAATTTTCAATATATTCCAAGATTTTTTTCATACCACCCGTTACCAACTACATAACATATGGTAACTTCTTCGTTTTTAAGTCATTTTTGAAAACGTTAGCTCAGAAGGAACGAGTTCATCATGATCTATTAGATCTACAAATTTCTGGGTGAAAAAATACAGGACCAAAAATTACCATACTTTACCACTATGGTATGTTTGTGGTAACTTGTGGTAAACAATGATGAAAGCCGTAAATGACAGTTAGTATACTCCTACTATCATGTATTCAACCTTCTTACCATATTGGTATGTTCATGCCATCAATGTACGCTTTCTTACCATATGGTATTATATAGGAGCATACCATATGGTATTGACTGGTAAAAAATAACTCAATTTTTCCCCTAAAAATATATCAAAGTGAATATCATTTTAAAAAGCACAATTAATCTGATTTATCTGTGCAAAAATATTTAAATTTCGACTTAAAATAAGAGAGAAACCGTCCGTTAAAGATTAAAAAGGAAAAAATAAATGGCTTTCCATGAGATAGAGGGATGCTGATGTCGTGCTGATTTGGATGGGTTACTCATGGTTACTTACTATAAGGTTACTCATCCGCTCCCACTTGATTCATACACCTGTTAATAAACTAACAATAAGCTAAATTACCTAAATGGATACCGTAAAAGACAATTGCTAATAATAATTTTAATAAATATATATATAGAAATTTTACAATGTTTCATATTTGGTCTATATCTTATCATACAAATTTCTTTATTTTATATTACAAATTTAGTTTGTACCTATATATTTGTTTACAAATTCATACTATACAATACAAAAGCATACTTTTTACGCTATGATACAGTATGCACATATATATTTGCATAGAAATTATTTTATAATACAAACTAAACTTATATCTTTAACATTGTGGATTCAAATTGTATTTGAAAACACCAAGAGTTTGAAGTATAATAAATAAGCTGATATATAAGATAAGATGTTAATTAAAAGGATGTCTTTTTTTAGTTGGAGTCCGCAATTTTTCTATGAATAAACTGAGAATTTTAATCCCCCTAAATGAAGGGATAAAAAGTTGGAGTCCGAAAGTTATTCAATTGATAAGCCGAGTGTTTTAAGCCCACAAAATGACTAAAAAATCCCCCTCACTATGCCAGAAGCCAGAAAAAAATCCCCCTTGGCCCATACTATGCCCAAGCGGAACCTCTACATATTGTTTGGAGGATAAGTGGGAATTATTATATGTGACCAACCATTAAATAAATACTGGTTGATAAGATTGCGTAAAAAAGTTGATTGAGTGAGCAAACTGAAAATTAATATGTACATGAATTTATCAGAATAATTGGTGAACCAACAAGCGAAAAGAGAAGAAAATACTAACCCTACCAAACAAAAGAAGGGTTTGGGAACTCGTTATGGATTTTGAAAATTCAACTCTGGAGGCTTGACCAATTTCCACTTTTTCTTTTTCTTTCTAAACCAAAAGGCAGCTTATATTGCAGCTTCCACTTTTGGCTGATGAGTCAAAACTCAAAACAGGCATCATCATTTGACTTTTGTCTTTTGAATTAGGATGTTAATTGAAAATGCAGGCTTAGGTTGTAAAATGAGATAAACATTCATCCTTTTCATGATTGTTGAGAATTTTAATGTCATCTTAGCGTCTAATGAAAAGCAAGGGGGTCTTCCATGGCGTCTAAGTCATTGTGCTAATTTTCGGGAATTTGTTGATGATTTGGGGCTTCATGAGCTTCCTTTTAAGGGTCTGACTTTCACCTAAACTAATAAATGGGATCGAAGCCGTGTGGTACAAGAGAGGTTGGACTGAGCGTTTGTCTCAGAAGATTGGATATTAAAATACCAGGATCCATGATACATCATTTATTGGATCGTGAGTCGAATCATCGTGCCCTTTTGTTTGTCATTGAGGACGTTAAGAGATTAGGGAAGTCGATGTTTTAGTTCAATGTCCGATGAGGAGATAATCCTGAAGTCTGGGCAATGACCAGGTTCGTTTGGGAAATGGAGTTTGAGGGCTCTCTTATGTACTGATTGTGGTGCAAGCTGGAGAAACTACGACATTTGTTGTATGACTGGGCAAAAGGGGCACCTCAAACTAGGCTAGACATATTCGCACTTTGGAAAAGGAAATTGATAGTCTGCGATTGGAAGTGAGTGTGGATTGGGAGAGGATAAGGGAATTAGAAGCGGAGCTTCAAATTGCTTGGACAAATGAGGAAATATATTGGAAACAGAAATTCCAAGGTGGAGTGGTTGCAGGAAGGAGATAAGAACACGTCTTACTTCCATCTGGTGACACACTCGCGTCGAAAGAGGAATTTTGTCTCAAAATGATTTGTGCCAGATGTTTCATGGGTGATGGAGGAAGATGAAAAGGCGCTAGTGGTGAGTGACTTCTATTCCTCATTATTTTCTACTGATGGGATGGATGCCCAGTTTGTCAGAGAACATGTTATGAGTTTGCCGATTGGGGAGAATATGACAACTCCAATGAAAGTGAAGCTATCGACAAAGATCTCGCCAACAGAAATTCGCACGACTGTCTTCCAGCTTGGCGCAACTCAGGCTCCTGGTTCAGATAGCTTTACTGGGATTTTTTCCAGGAAGTTCCGGGATATAGTTAGTAGGGATGTTACAGAGACAGTGACTCACTTCTTTGAGACTGAGGGTCTATTGAAGAATTTTAATCATACTTGGTTGGTTTTAATTCCCAGAGTGGATAATGTCGAATATATGAAGCAGTTACGGTCGATTAATCTATGCCAATTTGTGTACAAGGTAATATCGATCATCTTGGATGAGAGGCTATGCTCCAAATGAATTAATTAAAAGAACTAACCAACCGTCGTTTTCCTAGAGATTGGTAAAAGAAATTACCCAATTTCACTGTTGTCGATTAGACCATCAAACCCCAAACCAGTTATCGTTTAATCCAATTTGAAAACCTTGATATTACCCCAAATCTCTGTTTTCAGAACTGAACCGAAAACTGCTGAACCAAAATAATTAGTGGCTTATGATTTAGCCGTTAATTGTTAGTACCGTTGGTTAACCTTAAAATATAACCGTTCATATACTATGATATAAAAGGCATATACAATACACTAATTTATGACTAAACTTATATGAATAATTTCAAATCCATATCATCCATCACCAGAAGTTCTATCAAATCATTTAAACTGTCTCACAAAAGAAATCATAACAAGTTTCTTAAATTAAGAAATCATAACAAGTTTCTTCAATTAAAGTTGGTAATTAGGATGGCGATCGATAGTGGACCACGTAAACCCAACAAGAAAGGTAGAGAAAGAAGGAATAAAACTATTATTTCAGAATGAATGGTCTTAGTTTACATTAACGTGTTATTTCTAATTTTGTGTGTGGTTAAAATGATGAAACATTAAACAGTCAAACATGAATTATACATATGATTTCACGTTCAACTGTTGAAAACTGTCTCGTCCAATCCTAACCGTCCAAGCTAACGCGCTAAACCGCTATCATAACTAGTGTGATAATTCTACTAATCCATCCTCTAATCCAATTCGGTTATTATAACAAACTAGTTGTGCGCCCGCCCGATGGGCGATAAGTGTCATTTGTTTGTACTTTTCCTTCTATTATCTATTATTTTTTCAATGGTATCAAATTGCTACTTTTCATATCTATTTATTATTGTTAGGGGCTAATATACCACTGGAAAATCTGAACTATTAACTTTGTGCCATTTGTGTTCTAAAGTATTCGATATGACATTTGTGTCACTACGTATGATAGTTGTATGTCATTTATGTCCTGACGATTTCATTGATCGTTATAGATAACGGTTGACCAAACGGAAGTCAACATTAACATTGACTTTTGTTGACGTGGCAGCCACATAGATGCCACGTCATTGACACATCATATTTTTTACTAAAACTAAATAAAAATCAAAATAGAAAAATTATAAAATAAAAAATAATTAAGAAAAATAAAAAAAACAGGGGATAAGTGTTGCATTTTATTTGCTGTTGTCCCACCAGGCTACGTTTTGGGCTCCGGGGATGGCTCGCCGCTGGGATTTTCCGGTGTTCCTCCGGCAATAATCGCCGCCGCGAACGCCATCCCAGCTCCTCCTTCCGGGGACATCGTCACCGCTTGGTCGCCCGATCTCTCCGCCGCTCTCTACCGTGTCGACGGCTGGGGCGCACCTTACTTCGCGGGCTCGGGCTGCCGCTTCCCCTAATCACCCGCCTCCCAGATGTGTTGAAGAACCGCCTGGAGTCTCTGCAGTCGGCGTTCAATTTCACCATCCAATCCCAGGGTTACGACACTCATTACCAGGGAGTCTACCCTGTGAAATGCAATCAGGAGCGGTTCATTGTGGAAGACATCGTGAATTCGGGTCGTCGTTTCGATAATGGTTGGAAGCCGGGTCGAAAACCGGAGCTTCTCCTCGCCATGAGCTGCCTCTGTAAAGGAAACCCAGAGTTCTCCTCGCCAAATCGATGATCAGTCGTATGTCTGGCCAGTGGATACTGTCACGGGATCGGTCATTACCTCGAGGGAAATTGGACAACGAAAATCTTCTTGGTTCAAGCAATTGAGCTTCTCCGAATTGATTACGGTCTCGCTCTGTGCTTCTTCTTCCTCCTCCTGCATTAGAATCCAGAGTTTGGAAGAAAATTACTCCCCGGCAGTAGCTCAAAAATCCCAACAAGCTACTCAACAACGACACCTCTTGCAGTCTCGCTGTTCCCCCTCGCCCCCACCGGAACTCCGAAACTCGATCTGCTCTTCCAGAAATCTGATCTGCCCGTTACATTGACTCCACGTCCTGATCCCGACGAAATCGAGAACCCGCTTCACTAAATCGAACTCCGGTTCGATTCCCCTGTCGAAGCAATTCAACTGCCCCGACAACCGCCCGTTACAAACCCTAAACCCCCGATCATCGACACGAATCAGGAAGATTGGAGCCGAGGAGGGTGATTCTTTATTTTGTGGACTCGACGAGCTCGGCCTTCAAAGGGAGGGAGAGCGAGCAGAGGAGAGAAGAGAAGACGACGGTAGAAGTAAGGAGGAGAGAAGACGAAGAAGCAGCGGGAGGAGTTCCAGGCGGAGAAGACTACGGAGGAGAGATAGAAGACCCGAAAATTTATTTATTTTGTATTTTTATATTTAATTTTTTGTATTTTGTAATTTTCTTTTTGTTAGTTTATTTATTTTTTATAATAAAATAAATAAATAATAAAATTTCACGTCGGATGCCACATCAGCGCTGACTAGATTTTCAGTTAAAACTATCGGTCAACTCTAATGGACAAATAGTTTAGGACACAAATGTCATATCGAATACTTTAGGACACAAATGACACAAAGTTAATAGTTCGTGTTTTCTAGTGGTATTAGCCCTACTGTTATCTATTATCCATGTTTCATCTAATATGAGGGGCGGTACATTTAATCCAGATTTTAATCATGATCAACAATAATGTCAAACAATGCTGTAACTTCATCACCGCTTGAAAATAGTATTCATGACCATCGGATCCTTGATTGATCAACAATTTTCAACTTCATAAGTTATACATGGTTTAAGCTAGCGTAGGTCACCTTACCGTACTCCTATCGAGTTTTGCTATCATCATGAATTAACGGAGTTTGGGACATGATACTATACCATAGACTGTAATGGGTGAACCCCAGTCTCTAATTCTCTAATCCTAACGTACGATTCATTTAATGCAAAAATAATAACTAGTGATTCTTATTTGTTAAAATATATTAAAGTACAACTAATAGGTGCGAAAGAAGGTGTATATTACACCTTGAGTGTACGTTAGCCTTTGCCATCATTATATTAAAGTACAACCAAACTATTCTTCTATTCTTCTATATTACCTTCAACATTCTATAAATGATATAAAAAAAATGTTAGTTATAGAGACACTTTGTCTTCACTTCACATTATCATCCAATATTAAATGTGTGACTGACTGCAACTGAAATTGTTTAATAACTTAATACAAATGTAAAGGTGCCATGTTGTGCGATCAGTACAGTAGATGAATTTATTGTACATCGGTCAAGAAATGATCCCGTGTTGGTTTTATAGGACACCAGTCCAGGTACGTCCCGTGCTGGTATACAGGACATCTGTTAGGGTATGATCCCGCAGTGGATTTATAGGACACCGATCTAGGTGTGATCCATGGTGGTATACAGGACATCTACTATACTACCAGGGGAGTGTATGACTTGGCAAATTAATAAGTACAAAGCACTGAATCAACATAACCATTCATGTGATTGAATCCTTGTATGAAGATTACTTATGATGTGGTTATGTGATGACTTCCTATGATGTGATATACGAAATGTGCATGTCGATGATGATGGTTATGTGATGGTTTTCTATGGTGTTTTATATAATGATTTACCATGAGAGGTGTGATGTTTTCCTATGTTGTGACGACATTACATGGTAATGGCAGTATGTTGTGATACTTGATGCATACATGTTTATACAGTGAGTCATCAAGAAACTAGGGGATGGTCCTTATGTTGTGAATGTATGAAGTCTTTGAGTTTAAGATGACGAAAGTGACATGACATGTGTTGATGAATGGATGTTTATTTGACTGAATGAGATATACCATATCGGGTGTATCTTGATAATTAAGTTAAGCTAGTAAGGGTTGAGAGGTTGGTGAGGGAAAACCGAATACTCCACGTTCCGCCATGGTCACTGGGAGGGACAATAAGTCCTTTCGAGCTCTACTCTTAAAGTTGATGGATTTAACAAATAATTAGATCATTATCTTATGAGTCGGGTATAATATATTTGTAGCATATAACTGAATTATGTTTATATATTTCACCAATCTTAACATATAGGAACATGTGAATAAGTAATTATGACTATGTTTTTTACTTAGCAAATGACTAAATTACACGTTTGGTCACTCAAATTATACAAATCTTTCATGTTTGCCACCCGAATTACTTTTCTTTCTTATTCGCCACTAACTTTACGAATCGTTTCGCCGTTAGTCACCGGTCGTTACCCTTCGTTAAATTTGTTCTATGTGGCAGTCAACTATAAAGTTTGACTGTTAACTAGATGACATGGAAATTAAAAAAAATTTCGTCATCTCAAAAAAAATTTCCATTTCATCTAGTTAACGGTCAAATTTTATAGTTGACTGCCACATATGACAAATTTAACGGAGGGTAACGGCCGGTGACTAACGATGAAACGATTCGTAAAGTTAGTGGCGAATAAGAAAGAAAAGTAATTCGGATGACAAACGTGAAAGATTTGTATTATTTGAGTGACCAAACGTGTAATTTAACTCTTAGCAAATCATCATTTTTACTTCATGCTATTATCTGTTAATAACCTAGTAAGCACACAACATTTTTTGTTATTCTTCTAGTACATCGCGATAAGAGTGTATTAGTTTGAATATTTATAGTAGCTCTTTTCTAACAAATTGCAACATAATTGTATTGGTTCACATATTTATAGTAGTTTGTATAGATAAAATGTTAAATTCTTCGTGTTATAGAATACAAAAGAAGGTTTGTTTGCTTTTTCATTTTTCAATTTTAAAAGAAAATCACATGTCAAGTTATGTAAAAATTTAGAATTGTGTACTATGTCAACTAAATTCACGTTTTTTGGATTTTTAATTATTTTTAAAATAGTATAAACGATTATCAAACATATAACTAAAAATTAAAAATAGTTTATTTGTAATTGTTAGTAATTTTCTATCATTGCTAAAAAATAGAATACAAAATTTTATCCATGATAATTTTTGTTGTGTAATGTACAAAAGTCAACCATTAAATGAAAATAGAATGTTATGTGTTGTCTTTTCTTATAACATGAATATTATTTGTTGTGATTAATTGCATCAAAAAGATTTTATTCTATTGGTTAAACAACTGAAATGTTTACCATTTGAACTCTTAGGTTGCATGTTAAATTTTAATTATGGTGATTGATATACATGTTTTGTTGTGATTAATAGCATCGAATATACTTTATCTTATTGGTTGAACATTTGAAATGATGATAGTTTGAGCTCATAGGTTCAAATCTTGGTCATGACGATTGACATACATGTTTATTTAGTTTTATTTTAATGTAATCAATAACTTAAAAATGTTAAATGATAAAAATGACATGGAAAATTGTGGAGCTTTCTTTTTCCTACGTGGCAAAAACTTTCTCTACAACGGCCATAATATAAGTTAAGATCCCCTACATCGCCCCAATTCGGTAAAAATAGACAACTTTAACCGTAACTTTCAATAACAACAAAAATAGCCTAAACTTTCGTTAGAATAAATGAAGATGCTCTCCACTTGTTCGCTCCAAAACTCGTAGGATTCACCCTCGAAGATTGGAATCTGACTGGGGTATTCACTAACATGGTGTTCGCTTGGGCTGTTGCTATGGTGTTTGGGAATTTTATGGATAGGGAATATAAGACTGATTTAGGAGGATCGGAAAATGATATCAACTCTGATATCAAATTTGTTGTGTACTAACGGAAATGTGGTTGGTTTAGAATCAAAATTTGAAAGGATTTTATTATCACTCAATCACTTAATTATTGCCGTTTACTCACACAAGAGCTACTGCTGTTTACACTCTAGCTTTGGTTGTCGTCAACTATTGTCCCTATTAGCAACCGAAAACAAACCGAAACTTCGGTGTACTAATATAATTGAATTCCCCGGGAAGAAGAATCCCAGACTGAATCCTTCTCCATTGAGGACCATAACTTTGCCGTCCGGAAGATATTCGTCAAACATTCATCGTGTCTGTAGATGAAAAACATGGGAGGAGGCAGAGGAGGGTAACTTGGTCGGTAGTATATTGTATGCTCGTCGAGTTTTACTGGTTAGAGCATGAATTAATCAGAGTTTGGGGTATAATATTATACTCTAACCTCTAATGGATGAACCCCAGTCCCTAATTCTCTAATCCAAGCTACAAGATTCATTTAATTTAAAAAATAATAACCGCCGGTTCTGATTCAAGGAAATATATTGAAGTGCAAAAACCAAGTGTGAACACAGGCGTATGTTGTATGCCTGACGTACGCTAGTCTTTGGACGAATCATAATCGTCGATTATTGTTTTTAATTAAATTGATCTTGGGGTATAAGATTTAGAGAATTAAGACCTAGATGTTGATCTTTAAGGGATAGAGTATAGTATCATGTCCGAAAGATCAGTCAATTCAAGTTCTGGATAGCGTTTTGTTACTCAAGGTATGTGGTATCCTAGATTTCACCCTGGGTACCGTAGAACTCCCCATATATATATATATATATATATGGTACACTTTTTTACCAAACTTATTATTTCAATTTTTTCTTTTAGTGAGGATGAAAGAACTTGTCATCTTACCCCATACACTCAAATATATTAAAAGAAAAAGTCTTTATTATTTGGTCAAAGATATTGTATGTGTAACTAGGGGGAGATT